ATATATATACACACACACACACATACATACCAATTATCCCCGGAAATAACTCAACTTGTAGCATTGAGTACAGCGGCAACTCTAGTCTTATTTCAAGCTAAAATACTTCTAATCCTGCAACATTACCTAAATCAGTTCTTGTATGCCCATAGTATAAGTTCAGATTTGTTTTTAATCTTTCTGCTTAACAATTTGACAAGCACAATTCCTGATGAGATTGGTCATCTTTATAACTTGAAGCAATTGGGAATGGAAAAAAATAAATTAACGGGCTCAATTCCTTTAACCTTATTCAATATTTCATCACTTCAAGTTTTATCAATGTGGGACAACAAGCTTGAAGGACCTCTAACAAGACAGGTCGAAAATTTGACTATGCTTAACATACTTGATCTGGGAGTCAATAACCTGACAGGTATTGAATAATATTTAATCTGACAAGATAATAGAATTCTAGTTCTTCAAATACTTCTATTGATAATAATCTTACTAAATTTTGCAGGTGCATTTCCAGATGAGATCGGTAACCTTCAATAGTTGCTGAACCTTAATTTGGATTTCAATAGTTTTAGTGGGTCGATACCTGTTAGTATCTTCAATATGTCAAGTCTTGTATCTATTTCACTCACAGAGAACCACATTTCAGGTAATCTTCCCTCTACTATAGGGCGTGGATTACCCAATCTTGAACGAAGTTTTCTAGGTGCAAACAACAAAAATGGCTTTTACCTAGTTCTATCTCAAATTTGTCTAAACTTACAATTCTCGAACTCAGTGCAAATAAACTCACAGGTTCAGTTCCTGACTCTCTAGGAAACTTAAGACATTGAAATTCTCAACTTGTAAGGCAACTCCTTTACTAGTGAATCTTCACCACTGAGCTTTATTACTCCTTTGGCCACTTGTAAACACTTAAGAGAATTGATATTGTCTCTCAATCCCCTAAATCCAATGCTTCCTAAGTCCATTGGCAATCTTTCTTCTCTTTAAAAATTTGAGGCAGATGGATGTAACATTAGGGGCCATGTTCCCATTGAAATAGGAAATTTGAGAAATTTATCTTATTTGAAGCTGGAAGACAATGACTTGACTAGCATTTTCCTAAGACAATAAGTTCTTTGAAAAAGCTATAACAGTTTTTACTTGGAGCAAACAGAATAAGTGGTCCTTTCCCAAATGGTTTGTGCAAGCTATCCAACTTGGGTTTGTTAAATCTTTCACAAAATCAAATGCAAGAAAATATTCCTAGTTTCTTGGGGAATGTGACTTCCCTAAGAGAGGTTTATCTTGATTCCAACAACTTCACCGATGGCATACCTTCAAGTCTGTGGAACCTCAAAGACATCTTGAAGCTAAACTTGTCTTCTAATATCTTCAATGGCACTTTACCACTTGAAGTTGGAAACCTCAAGGCTGCAATAATTCTGGATCTTTCCTGGAACCAAATCTCAAGCAACATTCCTAAAACAATAGGAAGTCTACAGAAATTGGCTCAACTATCTTTGGCTCATAACAGGATTGAAGGATCAATTCCTGAGATATTTGGAGAACTGATAAATTTGGAAGCATTGGATCTTTCATATAATAATATGTCCAGTGTTATTCCAAAGTCATTAGAGGCACTTAAGCAACTGGACTCCTTTAATGTCTCATTCAATAGGTTATACGGGGAAATTCCGAATGGAGGACCTTTTGCTGATATCCCTTATCAGTCTTTCGTGTCAAACGAAGGATTATGTGGTAACCCTAAAATGCATGTCCAGGATTGTTATGGTAAATCAAAGAAAAGAATAGTGATATTTATCGTCATTGTCTCTTCTGTTATTGCTTTAGTAGGCCTTGCTTTAGTGATAGTTTTTGTGTTGATGAGACGTCACGATAAAACAATCAAAGCTGATGATGAGTGGTTGCCAGATGTAGCACAACAAAGATTTTCCTATTATGATCTTCAAAGAGCAACTCAGGACTTTAACGGAAATAACTTGCTAGGTAGTAGAAGTTTGGTTCTGTTTCCAAAGGAGCATTAACAGATGAGATGATAGTAGCTGTTAAAGTTTTCAATGTGCATATGGCAGGTACATTTTAAACCTTTGATAGAGAATGTGAAATTTTGCGGAATCTTGTCACATAAATCTCACCAAGATCATTAGCAGTTGTTGTAAGTTGGATTTTAAAGCATTGGTACTTGAGTACATGCCCAATTAGAGCTTAGACAAGTTTCTATATTCTCGAGATTATCCTTTAAAACATAAAGCAAAGATTGAATATCATGGTTGATGTTGCATCTGCTCTGGAATATCTCCATCATGGTTACCTGATACCTATTATTCACTATGATCTAAATCCTAGTAACATCTTACTTGATAAAGACATGGTGGGACACCTGAGTGACTTTGGCATTGCAAATCTCTTAACAAAAGAAGAATAAATTGTTCATACTACAACCTTTGCCACAATTGATTACATTGCCCCAGATGAGTTTTTTATTTAAGGTGTAACAAGATTTTTGATTAACACATTATAAGTTAATTATTGACATTTACTTTTCATTTTCAGAGTATGGAGTGGAAGTCCTTATATACAAGAGGCCTGATGTTTATAGTTATGGTACCATGTTGCTCGAAACTTTTACAAAGAAAAAACCTAATGATGAAATGTTCACGGGAGATTTGAATTTGAGAAGTTGTGTGCATTGTTTGTTGGGATAAAATAATAATCTCGCCAAGGAATAATATCCACGACAAATAATAATAATACAAGAGAATAACAAAGATACCAAATCTTTTAACGGGGTAAAATACAATATCCGAACGGAATAATATTTTCACTATAATATTACAACTTAGTATTGTTAAGAGACTGCTACAACTTCGAAAGAAATAACACTCTTTATTTTAAACACCTCACTACAATATTACTTACTCTCACTATTTATCTCATAGACTACAATCTGGATTACTCTCTCTATGCTCTATTGCGCTCTGATTTTGGTGTATTTGAAATGAAGAATGAAAGCTTCTATTTATAGGAAAAGTTTCCAGATTTAGCTTTCTAAAATCATATTTACATCTTTCCAAATCAGATTTGTCTTTTGCAAAATCTGATTTGCAAATTGCACGTTTAAGCCAACCGTTGTCTTCTTTTTCTTTTTCTTTTATTTCTTTTTTATTTAAATGAGTTCCACAAATCTCTCCCTTAATTTTGATTTTTCTTCTTCATTCCAAGTCTTGATATCAATCTCTGGAAGTCATCAAACTTGATAGGCTTCGTAATAATATCAGCAACTTGATCATGAGACTTCACATATTTGAGTTCGACTTTCTTCTTGGCAATGCATTCTCTGATGAAGTGATACCTTGTATCAATATGCTTGCTTCGATCATGATATACTGGATTCTTCGCGAGTGCCTGTGCGGATTTGTTTTCAATACAAATCTCTGTAGCTTCAATTTGTGGTAAATTGAGCTCCTTCAATAATCTTCTCACCCAAATAGCATGACAGGTACAGGATGTTGCTGCTATATATTCAGCTTCACAAGTCGAGAGAGTAACAATTGGTTGTTTTTTTGAACTCCAAGAAATAACAGAATCACCCAAGAAAAATACAAAATCAATTGTACTTTTTCTATCATCAATATCTTCGGCATAATCACTATTACAAAATCCCATAAGGTTGAAATCACTAGAAGAAGAATAAATAGCCCAAAGTCAATCGTACCTTTTAGGTAGCAAAGAATTCTTCTAGCAACTTTCAAATGAGTGGAGGTTGGAGCTTCCATGAAGTGGCTTACTACTCCAACTACAAAGAGTATATCTGGCCTAGTACAAGTCAAGTACCTCAAACTTCCCACAAGACTTTTGAAAAATATGGGATCCACTTTTTCTCCTTAATCAAACTTGGACAATTTTGTCCCACTCTCCATCAGTGTGTTCACGGGGTTGCAATTGAGCATGTTAAACTTCTTCAATATCTCTTTTATATAGCTTTCTTGAGAGATAAAAATTCCATCCTCCATCTGCTTCACTTCTAGGCCCAAATAGTATGACATGAGCCTTACGTCTGTCATCTCGAACTCACGAGACATATCTTTCTTAAGAGCTTCAAACAAACTTGGGTTATTACCCGTGAAAATAAGATCATCAACAAAAAGACAAACAAGCAAGATATCCCCATTAGTATGAACTTTAAGGTAAAGAGCATATTCATGGAGACAGCGAGTAAACCCATTGTCTTGAAAATACTTGTCAATGCAACTATTTCATGCTCGCGGGGCTTGCTTCAATCTATATAAAGCTTTCTTCAACCGTAACACTTTATCTTCATGGTTTTTGACCATGAAGCCCAATGGTTGTTCAACATAGACTTCTTCTTCAAGATAGACATTCAAGAAGGCTGACTTGACATCTAGTTGATGGATCTTCCACTTCATTTGCGCCGCCAAAGAGATCAACAAATGAATCGTCTCCATGCAGGCAATAGGTGCATAGACTTCTTCATAGTCCATGCCTTGCATTTGCTGGTAGCCTTTAGCCACAAGTCGTGCTTTGTATCTCTCTACATCTCCATCAGCATTCTTCTTTGTCTTGTATACCCATTTCACTCCAATTGCTCGATGAACCTTGGGAAGAGTTGTTAACTCCCAAGTGTTGTTGTTCTCTATTGACTCAATCTCCTCCTCCATGGCTTGTCTCCACCTTTTATTTGTAACAGTTTCATCAAAGTTCATTGGTTCACTGTCAGCAAAGAGACAACATAAAAAATCAAAATTAGTAACTTCTTCTGTGTCGTTATAGAGCTCTTAAATATTCCTTGTCCTTTGCGACTGTTCATTTCAACTTTCTTGAGAAGATGGAGATGCAACATTGGTTGGAGAAGGAGGTGGAGTTGTATCCTGCACAGGTTCCACGGTCTTTGGTTCTTCTTCATCACCAAAGTATGGAAGAAAATCATATGAAGTTTCTTCCTGAGCTTCCCAATCCCATGACAATTCTTCATCAAATTCAACATCACGACTTATCACCACCTTGCCACTGCTTGGGTTGTATAATTTGTAGCCTTTTGAACTCGTATCATAGCCAACAAATACATGCTTGACACTTCGATCGTCAAGCTTTGCTCTCCCTTGATATGGCACATGAGCATAGGCTATGCTCCCAAATATTCTCAAGTGCTTGACACTTGGATTTCTTCCACTCCATGCTTCTTTAGAGGTTTGATCTCTAACATTCCTTGTTGGAGACCTGTTTTTTAAATAAACTGCATAAGAAACAGCTTCGGCCCAAATTCCTTGGGCATACTTTTAGCTTTCAACATATATCTAGCCATAATAAGAATTATTCGATTCTTTCTCTTTGCAACTCCATTTTGTTGGGGTGAATAAGGTACTGTTAGAGTGCGACGAGTTCCATGAGATTAACAGAAGTCATTAAATTCTTTTGAAATAAATTTACCTCCTCTATCGGACTTTAAAGCTTTAATTTCATAGCCACTTTCTTTCCCTACAAGTACTTTAAAATTTTTAAAAGCAGCAAAAGCTTTAGACTTTTGATTCAAGAAATAAACCCAAGTCTTTCTACTAAAGTCAGCAATGAAGAGCAGGAAGTATTTACTTTTACCAAAGGAAGGTAGATTAATTGGTTCACACACATCAGTATGGACAAGTTGAAGCGGTTTGGTTGATCTTGACATGGCCTCCTTTGGAAAACTCCTCCTTGCATGTTTTCCAAGAAGACAAGCTTCACACAATTGATTGGGATGGCTGATTGATGGTATCCCATGCACCATGTTCTTTTCTCCCATTGTTTTTAGTGCTATCCCTTCGATTTGAATCTTTGAGGTATATCCAAAGGACACATTACCTCTCACCGTTTTATTGATTTCCACAAACTTTTCTTTGCATCCACCCATATTATTGCTTGCTCCATTGTCCAAATACCACGAGCTGCAATCATCTATGTCTTCTTCCTTGAGTGTCATCAACAATGTTGACTCAACTTCTTCTTTCTTGTCGTCAACAAGGTTAGCTTTTTCTTCAATATTGCTACGACATTACCAAGAGTAATGGCCAAATTTATGACAATTATAACACTCAATTTTTGATTTGTCATATCTTTGTCCATTATTTTCTTGGTTGTAGCCACGTCCTCTTCCTCCTCTTTGTCCATGACCACGATCTCTGAATGTTTGGTGCATTTTAACTTCATTGTTGAAGTTATTACCGTTACTTCTTCCTCTTCCATGACCGCCACGACCTTTGCCTCGTGTGTTTCCTCAATAGCTCTTTTCACCTCCATAATCCTTAAAGAATGCCTGAGTTTTAAGAAGTTTCTCCAATGGCACTTCTTGTCTCCTTTTGATCTTTTCTTCATGGGCCTGTAAAGAACCCTCCAGTTGCTCCACCGTCATAGAGTCTAAATGTTTTGACTCCTCAATAGCACACACCACAAAATCAAATTTAGGTGCTAAAGTACGAAATATTTTTTCTATCACATGGACATCTTCTATGTCCTCCCCATATCTTCTTAGTTGATTTACAACAACCTTCACTTTTAAACAATAATTCGAAATGCATTCGGATTCTTTCATTTTTAAAACTTCAAAATCAACCCTTAGAGTTTGAAGTTTTACCTTCCTCACCTTGTAAACTCCTTGGAGAGAATTTTATAAAATCTCCCAAGCTTCCTTTGAGGTGGTAGCATCGGCCACCTTCTCAAACATGGCATCATCCAAACATTGGTGGATGAGCGTGAAGGCTTGTTGATCCTTCTTCCTTGTCTTTGCCAAGACATTTTTTCATTTTGAGGCAGAGCTTCCTCATTATCGGGTTTTGCATTCCCTCTATCTACGATTTCCCACACATCCTGAGAGCTAAGAATGACTTTCATACGTAGACACCATTTCTCATAATTATCTTTTGTGAGACGGGGGTACTGAAAAGACAACGGACCATTATTCGTCATGGCTCTGATACCATGTTGTTGGGATAAAATAATAATCCCGCCAAGGAATAATATCCACGACAAATAA